TCAAAAATAGCTCATTTTCTGTCCAAGATTTCTCGGTCCAGGCTCATGCTATATGTTTAATTTTTTTTTATTAGAAAGAGCATGTCAGGATGCAGGGCACCACAGAGTTGTTTTTTTTTAATTCTTACTTTTTTAGCGGAAAATGGGATCACAAGTTCAATGACTCAAAAAAAGCGCAAAAAATGGGTGTCTAGTTACATAAATGTCTGTATATATAATAAAAAATAAAGCTTAATTAAAAAAAGAACTCTGTGGTGCCCTGCACCTGGACATGCTCTTTCGAACAAAAAAAAATTTAAATATATTGAAAGAGCCTGGATCGAGAAATCTTGGACAAAAGATCAAAAAGTCATAAACCGAGAAAAAACGAAAAACATTTTCTAATTTTTCAAAAAACATCTGGTTTTTCGAATAGGGGTTGACGAAAATCTTCGAAAATTTTGGACAAAAAAGGAGGTATCGACGAAAACTTTTTATCAGCTATGGAAGAGCAGATCACGGGCTATCTTCCCATGCATTTATCTCCATTTCGACTTTTTTGACGAAAATTGACTTTTTTTGAGGGGGAGGGCGGCCTTAAAAAAGTTTTTAGACCGACATGAATATTTGATAGTTACCTGAATCTGGATCAATCAATGATTCAGCAAAAACAAATTTCAGCTTTAATGCTGTATCACCACAGCCTGTCTCAGAACATTTCCAATAGACACTTGAAAACATGCGCATGCCCATAGAACCAACACGCACAGTGAATCCTTGAAATGGATCGTCTTCTCTATAGAGAAAAAAGATGAGTACAGATAAAAGAATTAATCGTCCTTTTGTATATTGACTTACTGATTAACAACAAAACGCTTGAAGCCGAGTACATTTTCATACCATTCCATGGCAACTTTAGCTGAGTTACATGGCATGGCAAATGCGACGTGATCAATGGTACGCATCAAATTCTGATTTATTTGTGGCTCTTGGGAAGGATTTGTAATTATCGGTAGAAAGCCAGGCAAATATGGACCCGAGTATTTGGACAGATCGATTATCGAATGAACGATATTGCCGATACATGATTTGATGCAAGCATATTCGATCAATCCATACTGATCCATAGCTTCGCGACGTGATACAAGTACCTACACAGAAAAAGCGAAGGTTAACTACTTCTTTAGTTAAAAAATAATTTCTAATTGAGTATTGAAGTATATAATGAGGAAAGTAAATATCCAAGTCGTTTCACTTATCTTACCAAACATGTCGAAATGATTTTCGATTTCTGAATATCGGATATTTAAATTTGAAAGATATTGGGTGACTTGAGTCGACTTGAAATCGTGAAGTTTAAGAGTCCGTTTTTTCTCTCTCAGTTTGTATCTTTCTTAGTCTTTGTCACATGCCATAAAAGATACTTCAACATGATGCTGCCTTGACGTTGAAACCCATTGTGGTAGATATAATAAGCGTCGTCACGTGCAACGAATGTGGTTTCATCATGTGTTTCACATGTAATCAGCTAGTGATCAGACGTCGGCAGGGCGACGAAAACGTCGTTTTATTCCATCTCATAACATATCACACAACTCAATTATTTTCTGCCATTATATCAGTTAATGTCTTATACTATACAGTTCCGTTACGCTGCAGAAAAGTTAGAAAACTGCCTAGTTGAAAACTCATATTTCGATGACTCCATGGGGAAAACAACAGTAACCTGCAAGATGCCTTTTCTTAATGCTTTACCTCTAGTTGGGTGTAACGTGGTTGAAAATCGCCTACTATTATATAGAGAATAACTTGACTTCTATGAATCGAGATCCAGTTCGATGTGAGAAAATATTTGCCTGCATATGAGTCCAATAAAGAGTGCTACTTCATCGAAAGAGAATCGAATAGAATTCGAACGGAATTTCAATCTTTTCTTGTGAAAAACTATTACAAGCTGAGCTCTTCATGTGCTGTGCAAGAACATTACCCAAAGATCACACCAGTAAGATGGTGCATAATCGGAAAGACAACAGTGGTTAAAGTGGGTTTAGTTAAATTCTGATGCAAATGAAGATTCTCCAGAAAGAATCAGTTTCTCATCGTTAAGCGCATGGGACATTGGTTAGTTGATCCGCACTGATAGTTCAGTTCAGCATGTGAAATACTTATTTCAAAATATCTATAATATATGTCTTCACTTGTGAATAACTTTTTATCACGTGAAGCTATCAATCTCGAATCTTCATTATTGGAAACAGAAAATTATGGGACGACGAAAAAGATCACCCATCCGATCATAGGATACGAAAAAATTCTTTTAATGTCCCATCGGTCTGTGATACAGTGTCACGTCCAAAGCCTCTACAATGTATGATCAGTTTGCTACAGTCAAAATATATTTCTTCTCCAATCGTTTTCCATGAATCTATCATTTTACTCAGCGACCGGTAACAACTTGAACTTACTTGAACGTCTGGTGTTCGGTATAGCACTGACTGAACAGAGGTAACAGCTAAAGCAATATTGAATGCAGTATCCCGATTGACCACTAAATTTCGCGTTGTTTCATCACCGAGCAATGCTGTTAGAATATCATAATGATTTTGATTGTTAGTCATATCCGTTGGTTTTTCTGCTGCTGTTGTCGTTATTGTTGATATAATCAATTGACATTGATTCGATTTCAGAAGCCACTGAGAACAGTCACATGCGGTTCTTGTGGCTGATAGAACAAAACCGTAGGTCTGCACAAATATATCAATCAAATTTTGTGGACGTGTCGTATGAAATTCGACATGGTGGATTCCAGTAGGAACGTCATTATTCATTTTTGACTATTTCAACAATGCGTCGGATTACGAGGATATCTATGCGTACTTTATGAACCACGATCTAAAAAGAATATGGAAGTATATAGGGTAGAATGTTGGACCTGCACCTCCTGTACCCCGCCCTCTCCCCTCTCTCCCCACCACCACATACTGTGACAGATACAGTGGGATCCAGTCACAGACGATGCAAGACGTTGTTGGCATATGATCTGTAATTGTATATCAACAACATCTCGTTCTAATATATGAACTACTTTCTTTTTGCATATTCGGAGGACTAACGAGGAAAGATCCCAAGTGATCCATCGCTTTGAAGTCGTGACTATGTGTATTATGTAGGCCCTAATGAGCTATCAATACCCTGAAAAGAGTTCGGACCGATAGCTTATTACTCCAGGGATACTGCATTTTTACGGTATTTTTAAGCGCAGTATCGTGATCTCTCTCAGGATCATCAGAAAACCTGAGTTTGGAATTTCAACTTGAAACTTTTTAAAGTGACATGCCTTGATGTGAATAGTTTATTGTGAAAGTTTCAGATCTTCTGATTGCTCCTATTCTGAAATAAAAACCTCAGAATCTGCCAGTGTTTATGAACGATGTACAAGCATGCTTTTACTATAACTGTGTCTTAGGATAGGAGCAACCAAAAGATCTGAAACTTTCACAATAAATTATTCTCATTGATACCTGTCCAAGGGGGGAAAAAAGCGAAACTTCAGTTTTTTGAAGTACAAGTGAAGTACAGTGAAGTATAGTGAAGTACGACTGAAGTACAAACGAATTACGGTGAAGTACGCACTCTTGAAGTCTCACTTCCCCCCTCCCCTGGACCTGTCACTATGCAAAGTTTCAAGTTGAATTTCTAAACTCAGTTGTTTTGATATTCCTGAAGGAGACCACGGCACTGTGCTGAAAAATATCGTAAATATGCAGTATCTCGGCAGCAACAAGCTATCAGTTCGAACTCTTTTCAGGATATTGATAGCTCATTATGGCCTACATAATACAAATAGTCCCGACTTAAAAGCGATGGATCACTTGGGGACCTTCCTTCGTAAGTAAATAGATGGCGAAGGCATATGTCACAGGATAGATAAAAAAAATTCAATCTTCTTATAATTAGCTAGAGCAGCTACATCTTGTTCACATTTTAATTCCACAGCGGTCGCGCTAATAGCTTTTGTGTTTGGATTATCTGAAATAGTTTAAGTTCGTCTCTCTGTATTGCTTTATTATGTTGAGGTCGACTCTCGATTTAGGTATGCACCAAATACAAACGTTAAGATTCGGGCTCAGGTTCAGGTTTGGCTTCAGATTCGAATTTGGTTGTGAGTTCGGATTAGGCTTCGGCTTCGGTTTTGATTGCAGTCATTTGCAGCTAAGGCCCTCCTCCCCCTCAAAAATCGATCTCAGCCCAGATATGTTCAAATGGGCTGAAATTTGGAGCATATGTTGGGGCTGAAGTGAGGAGGCTGTGGTAAAATTTTCAGCTCGATACTATGACGTTTGACAGAGATATGAACCAAA